AACTCACCCAACAGACCTCCCTCTCCCCAGACAACTCACCCAACAGACCTCCCTCTCCCCAGACAGCTCACCCAACAGACCTCCACCTCCCCAGACAACTCACCCAACAGACCTCCACCTCCCCAGACAACTCACCCAACAGACCTCCCTCTCCCCAGACAGCTCCCCCAACAGACCTCCCTCTCCCCAGACAGCTCCCCAACAGACCTCCCTCTCCCCAGACAGCTCCTCCAACAGACCTCCCTCTCCCCAGACAGCTCACCCAACAGACCTCCCTCCCCAGACAACTCCCAACAGAACCTCCCTCTCCCCAGACAGCTCCCAACAGACCTCCACCTCCCCAGACAACTCACCCAACAGACCTCCACCTCCCCAGACAACTCACCCAACAGACCTCCCTCTCCCCAGACAGCTCTCCCCAACAGACCTCCCTCTCCCCAGACACTCCAACAGACCTCCCTCTCCCCAGACAGCTCACCCAACAGACCTCCCTCCCCAGACAGCTCCCCACTCCCCCAGACCTCACCCAAACAGACCTCCCTCTCCCCAGACACTCACCCAACAGACCTCCCTCTCCCCAGACAACTCACCCAACAGACCTCCTCTCCCCAGACAGCTCACCCAACAGACCTCCCTCTCCCCAGACAACTCACCCAACAGACCTCCCTCTCCCCAGACAACTCACCCAACAGACCCCTCCTCTCCCCAGACAGCTCACCCAACAGACCTCCCTCTCCCCAGACAACTCACCCAACAGACCTCCCTCTCCCCAGACAACTCACCCAACACACCTCCCTCCCCAGACACCTCACCCAACAGACCTCCCTCTCCCAGACAGCTCCCCCAACAGACCTCCCTCTCCCCAGACAACTCCCCCAACAGACCTCCCTCTCCCCAGACAGCTCACCCAACACACCTCCCTCTCCCCAGACAACTCACCCAACAGACCTCCCTCTCCCCAGACAGCTCCCCCAACAGACCTCCCTCTCCCCAGACAGCTCCCCCAACAGACCTCCCTCTCCCCAGACAACTCCTCAACAGCCTTCCTCTCCCCAGACAACTCCCCAACAGACCTCCCCTCCCCAGACAGCTCACCCAACAGACCTCCCTCTCCCCAGACAGCTCACCCAACAGACCTCCCTCTCCCCAGACAACTCACCCAACAGACCTCCCTCTCCCCAGACAGCTCCCCCAACAGACCTCCCTCTCCCCAGACAGCTCACCCAACAGACCTCCCTCTCCCCAGACAACTCACCCAAGACCTTCCTCTGCCCAGACAGCTCACCCAACAGACCTCCCTCTCCCCAGACAGCTCACCCAACAGACCTCCCTCTCCCCAGACAGCTCACCCAACAGACCTCCCTCTCCCCAGACAGCTCCTCCAACAGACCTCCTCTCCCCAGACAGCTCACCCAACAGACCTCCCCCTCCCCAGACAACTCACCCAAGAACTTCCTCTGCCCAGACAGCTCACCCAATAGACCTCCCTCTCCCCAGACAGCTCACCAAAGTCCTCCCTCTCCCCAGACAGCTCCTCTAATGTTCTCCCTCTCCCCAGACAACTCCTCCAACGGCCTCCAACTCCCCAGACAGCTCACCAAAGTCTTCCCTCTCCCCAGACAACTCCTCCGACGCCCCCCCTCTCCCCAGACAGCTCACCCAATGGCCTCTCACTCCCCAGTCAACTCCTTCAAGACCTCCCTCTCCCCAGACAACTCCCCCATGAGCTCTCTCTCTCTCCCCAGACAATTCCTCCAAGTTCTCCCCTCTCCCCAGACAACTCACCCTCCAACCTCACGACTTCCCTCTCCCCAGACAACTCCTCCAAATCTTCCCTTTCTCCAGAGAGCTCCTCCAAATTTTCCCCTCTCCCCAGTCAACTCACCCAACAGCTTCCCCTCCCCAGACAACTCCCTCTCCCACCCCAGACAACCCCTCCTTATGAAAAAACAAAACTAAACTAAAACTAAACTAGGGCTAAACCAGGATTTGGACAGGACAAGATCTAAACAAGGACTAAACTAAATCTAAACCAGGACCAACTTGTAGACCACAACTTTTACTTGAGTAAGAGTACTGCTACACTGTACAATATATTACTACAGGAAGAGTACTATTACACTGACAGTATATTACAGACTCCATACTTTTACTCAAGTAGGAGTAAAAGTACAGGGTCTGAAAAGTTCTCTGAGCAGTACAAGTGTATAAAAAAGTTATTAAAAGTACTGTCCAAACCTACACCTTTATGTAGAATGCAAAGAATGTGTTTTATATTATTTTTTTGTAATAAAAAAAAATGTAATAAACTGAGAAAAACAGATAATGAACTGGATAAAGACTTTGACATTCTGAGTTGTAGAAGAGCGTGGCCACACAGAACAGGCCTGAGCGGATTTTCTCAAAGCAGAAAAACGAAGGTTCGAAAGCACGCCACAAATTACACACACACACACAGCACACAACACACTCACAATACACACAACGCACCACATTTAAACACAATTCAACCAGGAACACACAGAAACACGGACACGGGACGGTGCTGTCTGTCAGGAACGTGGGAAAAGGGAACTTCAAAATCCAAAAACTATACGCAAGAAATAATGACGGTGATCTTTTTTCTATTTTCAGGGAGACCAAACCAAGTTATGGGTCAGATCTGTGGAGAGGCGGCCCAGCTCACGGTCAGAATACCTGTTTTTTTGAGCTTTAAAATCACATGTAACTGAATGAATGTTAAGGTAGAGCTGTTTAATGTCACACTGTGGAACATTCCGGGCAGAGCAATGACGTATATCTATAGAAACAAGCAGGTGACGGACCCTCAACCAAAAAGTTACACAGTGCAGCTTTATAATAGAGATTCTTAAGACGTTTAAAGTAAAAAGTAAAACTAAAACTAGGATAAAGCAGCAGCAGGAGCAGGACTAAACCAAGATTCAACCGAGACTAAACCAGAACTAACACAGTACTAAGAAGGACCAAACAAGGACAAAACAGGACTTAACCAGGACTAAAATAAGACCAAAGCAGAATAAACCAGCGTAAAGAACTAAATTAGAACTAAACCAGGACTGGATCAGAAGACTTGACGAGGACTAAACAAAGATTAAACCAGGTCTAAACCAGAACTAAAACAGGACAAGAGCAGGACTGAACCAAGACTAAACCAGGACTGCCCAAGGACTAAACCAGGGACTACAAAAGGACTAAACCGGGGACTACATAAGGACTAAACCAGGACTGCATCAGAAGACTTTATGAGAATTAAACCAGGACTAAACAAAGATTAAAGCAGAAATAACACAGGACAAGAGCAGGACTGAACCAGGACTAAACCAGGACTAAACCAAGACTACCCAAGGACTAAACCAAGACTACCCAAGGACTAAACCAAGACTACCCAAGGACTAAACCAAGACTGCCCAAGGACTACACAAGGACTAAACCAGGACTGCCCAAGGACTAAACCAAGACTACCCAAGGACTAAACCAAGACTGCCCAAGGACTACACAAGGACTAAACCAGGACTGCCCAAGGACTACACAAGGACTAAACCAGGACTGCATCAAAAGACTTGATAAGGACTAAACCAGGACTAAACAAAGCTTAAAGCAGGTCTAAACCAGAATCAAAACAGAACAAGAGCAGGACTAAACCAGGACTGAACCAGGACTAAACCAGGACTAAATCAGGTCTAAACCAGGACTAAACCAAGACTAAAGCAGTTCTAAACTAAAGTACAAAAGAAGGACTATATGAGGACTAAACCAGAACTAAAACAAGATAAAACAGGACAAGAGCAGGACTGAATCAGGACTGAACCAGGACTAAACCCAGAACTACACCAGGACTAAACCAGGACTTAAGCAGCTCTAAACTAAAGTACAAAAGAAGGACTATATGCGGATTAAACCAGAACTAAAGCAAGGAGTGCCAAACATAATTAAACTGTGGGTAGACCAGGTACAGACCAGAACTAAACCAAGTCCATGGGAAAAGAGACCAAAAACAGCACTGAAGCAGGATTAAATAAGGACTAAACCAGATCTAAACCAGGACTAAACAAGGTCTAAAACCAGGACTACAAAACAACAAAACTGGACTACAACATGACAATAGTTAGACGAGGACTAAATCAGATCTAAACCAGGTCTAGAGCTCTTAAAACCCAAACAGAGACCAAACCAAAAGAGAAAAACACTGCTCATATTTCCACTCAGAATATCAGAGACAGTACTTTCTTTACTTCAGTACTTTGAGCTTGTATCGCAGTATCAGACACAGTACTTTGAGCTTGTATCGCAGTATCAGACACAATACTTTGAGCTTGTATCGCAGTATCAGACACAGTACTTTGAGCTTGTATCGCAGTATCAGACACAGTACTTTGAGCTTGTATCGCAGTATCAGACACAGTACTTTGAGCTTGTATCGCAGTATCAGACACAGTACTTTGAGCTTGTATCGCAGTATCAGACACAGTACTTTGAGCTTGTATCGCAGTATCAGACACAATACTTTGAGCTTGTATCGCAGTATCAGACACAGTACTTTGAGCTTGTATCGCAGTATCAGACACAGTACTTTGAGCTTGTATCGCAGTATCAGACACAGTACTTTGAGCTTGTATCGCAGTATCAGACACAGTACTTTGAGCTTGTATCAGAGTATCAGACACAATACTTTGAGCTTGTATCGCAGTATCAGACACAATACTTTGAGCTTGTATCAGAGTATCAGACACAGTACTTTGAGCTTGTATCGCAGTATCAGACACAGTACTTTGAGCTTGTATCGCAGTATCAGACACAGTACTTTGAGCTTGTATCGCAGTATCAGACACAGTACTTTGAGCTTGTATCGCAGTATCAGACACAATACTTTGAGCTTGTATCGCAGTATCAGACACAGTACTTTGAGCTTGTATCGCAGTATCAGACAGAGTACTTTGAGCTTGAGTAGTACTTTGGCTTGTATGAGAGGTGGTACTCACAGGGGACACGGCTCCGTTGGGCAGGTACGGGTCCGGTAACATGAGGAAGGGGTATCCGGGGTACGAGCCAGACTTGTACATGCCCCCGTCAGACTGCTGCTGCTTGGACACTAGAGGCAAGAGAGAGGGGTCATAAATACTACTTCCAAATACTCATTTTACTGTGATCAGAACTAAACCAGGTCTAACCCAGTACTACAATGGATCTAAAATAGGACTAAACTGGGTCTAAAACAGGACTAAACCAGGTCTAGCCCAGCACTAAAAATTGATCTAAAATAGGACTAAACTGAGTTTAAAATAGGACTAAACCAGGACTAAACTGGGTCCAAAATAAGACAAAACCAGGTCTAAAACAGGACTAAAATTGGTCTAATCCAGCAACAAAACAGGTCTAAAATAGGACTAAAGTAGGTCTAAACCAGGACTAAACAGGGTCTAAAATAAGACAAAACCAGATCTAAACTAGGATTAAAATTGGTCTAAAATAGGATTAACCCAGGACTAAACTGGGTCTAAACCAGCCCTAAATAGGGTCCAAAATACAACAAAACCAAATCTAAAATAGGACTAAACTGGGTCTAAAACAGGACTAAACCAGAACTAATCCAAAACTAAAACAGATCTAAAATAGGACTAAACTAGATCTAAACTGGGTCCAAAATAGGATTAAATTAGATCTAAACCAGGACTAAAGTGTGTCTAAAATAGAACTAAAGCAGGTCTAACCCAGCACCAAAATGGGTCTCAAATAGGACTATACTAGGTCTAAACCAGGACTAAACCAGATCTAGAATAAGACTAAAATTGGTCTAAAACTGACCTAAACCAGGACTAAACTGGGTTTAAAATAGGACTAAACCAGGTCTAAGCCAGCACCAAAACAGGTCTAAAATAGGACTAAACTAGATCTAAACTGGGTCAAAAATAGGATTAAACCAGATCTAAACCAGGTCTAAAGAAGGTCTAAAATATCTGAAGGAGCGCCGTAAAAAACATACATGTTTTCATATCGTCACATAAAGCTTTTGTAACTTTAGACTCACTCACATCAGGAAACGTTACTAATACTTTTACTCATGTAATTAGTAATCCATCAGAAATGTCTTAAAATGCCGTAAAAGCCTTGGCTGAAGTTCAACTATCACTTTTTGACACTTATGGTTTTAAATTATTATAGAACTGACACAAGTAATTATTATTTATTTTAAAATAATGTTTTAACTAAGAGTTAAAATGATAAAATATATTTGAGAAAACACATGTTCATCATGTTTTAATTTAGAAGACCTTGAATCACTTTTACTCCTTACATTTCTTTCGATTCAAATGCAGTAATTCATTTGTAATCATTTGTTTTTTAATATTTTGTAGTATTAAATTAAATACAGTGTTAAAAATTAAATCATTAACAAAAAAAAATAATAATAATAATCATTTCAAAGTTGTTTAATGTGACTTACTTCTGCTTTTTAGGCCCCACACCCTTGTCTTATCCGACTGTGAGCCGTGTGTGTGACGCACGTGTTCAACTCCAGAGAGCCGCCTCAGGACTGAAGAGCCTCCTCACACTCTGCTCATTTAAGAAACTAACACGCTAACGAGAACGCCACCCGCCCACAGACCCAAACCAGGGCTAAGACAAGCCTGAACCAGGTCTGAACCAGGTCTAAACCAGGTCTAAACCAAGATTAACCAAGTGTAAACCAGGACTAAAGAAGATCTCAATGAGGACTAAATTAGGACTAATTAAATGTACATAAATTACCAAGGGGAATTAAAAATGGACTCCAGGACTAAACCAGGACTAAGCCAGGTCTAAACCAGATCTAAACCAGGTCTAAACTTTATAATAAATGCAGAACTAAAATCAAGACTAAACCAAGTCTTAACTACAGGATTATTCCAGGACTAACCAGGTCTATACTAGGTCTATCCTAAGACTAAAACCAGGACTAAACTAGGATTAAACCAGGACTAAATCAGGACTAAACTAGGATTAAACCAGGAACAAAACCAGGACTAAACTGTGGAACTATTCCCAAGACTAAAATCAGGACAAAATCAGGTCTTTGCTAGGTCTATTCTAAGACTAAACCAAGTCTAAATCAGGTCTAACCTATATGATAAATGTAGGACTAAAACCAAGACTAACCTTGACTTGGTTTAGGATTGTTATAGGATTGTTCCAGGACTTAACCAAGTCTAAACTAGGACAAAACCAGGACTAAACAAGGCATAAACCAGGACTAAACAAGGCATAAACCAGGACTAAACCAGGACTAAACGAGGCATAAACCAGGACTAAACCAGGACTAAACTATAGAACTATCCCCAAGACAAAAAACAGGTCTAAACCAGGACTAAAACAGGTCTAAACCAGGACTAAAACAAGTCTAAGCCAGGATTAAAACAGGTCTAAACCAGGACTAAAACAGGTCTAAACAAGGACTAAACCAGGTCTAAACCAGGACTAAAACAGGTCTAAGCCAGGACTAAACCAGGTCTAAACCAGGACTAAACCAGGTCTAAAACAGGTCTAAACCAGGACTAAAACAGGTCTAAACCAGGACTAAACCAGGTCTAAAACAGGACTAAAACAGGTCTAAGCCAGGACTAAACCAGGTCTAAACCAGGACTAAACCAGGTCTAAACCAGGACTAAACCAGGTCTAAACCAGGACTAACACAGGTCTAAACCAGGACTAACACAGGTCTAAACCAGGACTAAACCAGGTCTAAACCAGGACTAAAACAGGTCTAAACCAGGACAAAACCAGGTCTAAACCAGGACTAAAACCAGGTCTAAACCAGGACTAAACCAGGTCTGCACTCATACAGTTATTTTTTCGCAGTTGGAACATTTTGATTTGATTGTTTCTGACAGTTGTTTCGATGTTTTCTTTAGACTCCAGACGTGTGCACTATACTTTTCCTCTATAGAAATAAACGTATAGAATGAGTTTAGATTCACTTTTCCACAGCTGCACGAGTTGAAGCCGTATATTTGAGTTCATTTGACTTTGGCCGTGATGTGAAAAGGAGTTTGACATTAAAAAGGTTGAAAAAGTGTAAGATTTTTGGCGATAGTGAAATGTGCACCTGAGGCGGGTCTTTGAAGTGCGCCCCGTGACCAAACCCTGCTCTGTGTCTCCATGGGGGGGCGCCGCGCATTTTTACACCGTTTTTTATCACGAGGACAACACCAATTGTGCCAAACTGGACCAAAATGTTGTGTCAAAGTTATATTTACCAATGGGAGAAATTGTACTTTTAAGAATAGTTTAATCACATACTGTGTTACATTATAGTAGTACTAAGAAGTAATAGTAGTTTTAAATATGAATATGGTTTGAAAGTAATGTTTTTTTGTGAAATGTTCAACAGGTCAGATTATACTTTTTACTTAATACTTAGTAATAATACTAATACTTACTACTTAGTTGTAATAAGTAATTAAATAAATACTTTGTCATTTGTAAACATCTACTTAATACAGTATTCCAGGATTCATCCCAGTATAAACAGGGACTAAACAAGAACTAAACCAGGACTAAACCTGATCTAAACCAGCTCTAAACCAGGTTTAAACCAGGACTAAACCAGGACTAAACCAGAACTAAACCAGGACTAAACCAGGTCTAAACCAGGACTAAAACCAGGTCTAAACCAGGACTAACCAGGTCTAAACCAGGACTAAACCAGACTAAACCAGTCTAAACCAGGACTAAACCAGGTCTAAACAGGTCTAAACCAGATCTAAAGCAAACACTAAACCAGATCTAAACCAGGTCTAAACCAGGTCTAAACCAGGACTAAACCAGGACTAAACCAGATCTAAACCAGGACTAAAACAGGTCTAAACCAGGACTAAATCAGAACTAAAGCAGGTCTAAAGCAGGAATAAAACCAGATACTAAGCCAGAACTAAATCAGGACTAAAGAACTAAACCAGGTCTAAAGCAGGTCTAAAGCAGGTCTAAACCAGGTCTAAACCAGGACTAAAACAGGTCTAAAGGAGAACTAAATCCGGTCTTTTAGCAGAGACTCACCTGTGTCTAAATGCTCGCGTTGTTTCTCAGAGGAGTAGCCTCTCTCTTCGCTCTGCTGTCCTCGTCTGACCGACTGCAACACACAACACAACACCTCAAATACTGCACTTTGTCTACAAATACATACACGTGCACTAGCAGGAGGACAAGCAGTATTAGTAGAAAAGCAAAAGTAAAAGTAGAATTGTAGTAGTTGTCATAACATAAAATTTAAAAAAAGTTTCAACAGAAACTTGCTTTACAAATTCAAAGTAGTAGGAGTTTTCCCGGTAGTAGTTGTATTTGTGGTAGTACAGTAATATAGAACTAATTATCATTTGCATTAATTACATTTAACTGAAACTTTTATTCTACATGGGTTTTTTTAAGGTTTTTAGTAGAAGTAGTAATACTGGCAGGCATGACTGCAGTTTTTGTAGTAATACTAGTAGTAGAAGTTGCCTAGAGGTACTTTATTTTGTGCTCAGTATTGTGTTTCAATGTGCTTTGTCTTTGGTAAATAAATGAATATCTAAAAAAAATATATATATATATTTAGTTGTAGCAATGGAAGTAGTAGACAAAGTTATAACAGTATTATTAGTATTAGAAGTACTAATAGTAGTTGTAATAATAATAGTAAAAGTAATAGTAGTAAAAGCAGACCTGTAGTACAGCAGTAGTAGTAGTAGTAGTAACAGCAGTAATACGTATTAGTCTCTTTTATAAGGAGACCAGGTAAAAGTACTGAACGATGTAGTAGTTGTTATTTCCTTGCAGTAGTAGTACTCATCATTGTCATCTTAGTAGAAGTAACAGCAGTAACGGGTATTAATCTCTCGTAGAAGGAGAACTGATAAATATTATATAATTATATAAAAAATAGAAGCAGTAGCAATATCCTTGTAGTAGTAGTAGTCTAGTAGTCGTAGTAGTAACAACAGTAGTAACAGCAGTAATGTGTACTAGTCTCTCTTAGAAGATGAAGTGGTAAAAGTAGTGGTAAAACAAAGTAGTAAAAGTTGTAGTAGCAGTTATTTATTTGTAGAAGCAGTAGTCGTAGTAGGAAAACTAGTAGTAAAATCTGAAGTAGTGGTAGTAGTGTTTTGTTTTGTTTTGTTTTTTTCTTACGTCCATCTGAATCTTTAAAAATATATATCTTAAAAATTCCAAGAAATAAAGGTTAGTCTCAGGCAGAAAAAGTATTCATAGAAGTAGTAGTTGTTGTTGCTGTAGTAGTAACACTGTGTATTAGTCTCTCTTAGAAGAAAGTACTAGTAATAGTAGTAAAAGTTGAAGTAGTAGCAGGAGAATGTAATGGCTATGTTAAAAATTCCATTTCAACACCAGAAATAAAGTTTAGTAGTAGCAGTAGTAGTAGTAGGCCTTGGTAGTACCGTAGTTGTAGTAACTGCAGTAATGAGTAATAGACTCTCTTGGAAGGAAAACTGATAAACATTCTAGTAACTGTTGCAGGGGAAACCAAGGTTGGTTGTCAAATTTTTTTATGTTCATCTGAAAATCTCAAAAAAACTTGAAATCTTCTTTTGAAAACTTGATCTTGAAAATGTAGTATAGTAGTAATATTTGGTAGTAGTTGTACACAAGTTGCACTGTGTATTAGTCTCTCTAAGAAGGAGAAGTGATAGAAATAACCTACGTAAACGTAAAAAGAAAAAGTAGTAGTCGTGATTTCTTTGTAGTAGTAGTAGTAATAGTTGTAAAAACTGCAATAATGTGCATGAAGTAATGTGTAAAAGTATTTGTAGTAGTAAAAGTTGTTTATGTTCATGTGAATATCTCAAAACTTGTGGAGCTTAAACGTTCCACTTCAACACAGTAAATAAGGTTCAGTCTCGTCAACAAAAGTAGTACTAGTAGGAGTAGTAATAGTAGTAGTAATAGTTGTAAAAACAGCAACAATGTGCATGAAGTATTGTGTAAAAGTATTTGTAGTAGTAAAAGTTATATTCATGTGAATATCTCAGAAGTCATGGATCTTAAACGTTCCACTTCAACACAATAAATAAGGTTTAGTCTCGGACAACAAAAGTAGTACTAGGAGGAGGAGTAATAGTAGTAGTAGTAGTAGTCATAGTTGTAAAAACTGCAATAATGTGCATGAAGTAATGTGTAAAAGTATTTGTAGTAGCAAAAGTTGTTTATGTTCATGTGAATATCTCAAAACTTGTGGAGCTTAAACGTTCCACTTCAACACAGTAAATAAGGTTTAGTCTCGTCAACAAAAGTAGTACTAGGAGGAGGAGTAATAGTAGTAGTAGTAGTAGTAATAGTTGTAAAAACAGCAATAATGTTGCATGAAGTCATGTGTAAAAGTATTTGTAGTAGTAAAAGTTATGTTCATGTGAATATCTCAGAACTCGTGGATCTTAAACGTTCCACTTCAACACAGTAAATAAGGTTTAGTCTCGGTCAACAAAAGTAGTATTAGTAGTAGTAATAGTAGTAGTAATAGTTGTAAAAACAACAACAATGTGCATGAAGTAATGTGTAAAAGTATTTGTAGTAGTAAAAGTTGTTTATGTTCATGTGAATATCTCAAAACTTGTGGATCTTAAACGTTCCACTTCAACACAATAAATAAAGTTTAGTCTCAGACAATAAAAGTAGTACTAGTAGGAGGAGTAATAGTAGTAGTAGAAGTAGTAATAGTTGTAAAAACAGCAAAAATGTGAATGAGGTAATGTATAAAAGTATTTGTAGTAGTAAAAGTTGTTTATGTTCATGTGAATATCTCAGAACTCGTGAAGTTTAAACGTTCCACTTCAGCACAATAAATAAGGTTTAGTCTCGGTCAACAAAAGTAGTACTAGTAGGAGTAGGAACAGTAGTAGTAGTAGTAGTTGTAGGTAGTGGAGGCAGTCTTGTCCGATCGTGTCCGGGCACTCACCGCTGCGCTCGGGCTCTGATTGATCTCAGACTCGTTGACCAGAGACGACTTGAGATCGGCCAGGTCCCGCTCGGTGAACGCGTTCTCGGGGATCTTCTCCTCCTGCTCGCCCTCGTCTTTAAACGCTATCATCTCATCGTTGGCTCCGAGATCGTCCCCTCCGCCGTTACTCAACTGCGGCATGTTTATTTCTGATTTTTTTTTTTTTTTTTTTCTTAACCTAATTCTCTACTTTTGACTTCCAAAAACAACTCCAAAGAACTTTTACAAACGCGCTGTGAGTGTGTGCGAAGAGCCGCGCGCAGGTTCGGGGCAGACTTTCCGTGCGTAAAAGTGCGTAAAACATGCAGAAAAGAGTCGCGGCGCTCCGGAGATGACTCGTGTGGCTGTCTCTCGGATCTGAACGAGAGCCGAAGCGAGGAGGCCGACTTCAAAGCGCCGCTGGGTGATTGACAGCTCCGATGACTCGTTGGGGGGTTGCGCTCTGTGCCGTGTGATTGTTTCTTAAAGAGACATCACCACCTTCTGTTTTCGACTGTTTTTTTTTTTTTTGTTTTTTTTCTTTGCCGTGCCTCCTCGTGCGCCCTCGTGCTGCTCCGGGCGCGTTCACGGGCGGGGGGTTTAAACAGGAAGGTGCGCGTTCCCGGTCTCCGCGCTACGGTCCGGTGCGCCACATGAAAAGAGCAGAGAGACGCGAGGGTCTGCGGCTAATAGGTTACGTAAACACGCCAAAAGAATCGATACTAGTTTCAAAGGAGGAAAAGCAGAGCGCGTTTAGGTTTTATGCACTTTAGAATGAGAAAACAAGACACACAACAAAAACCACAAAGTACTATTATTGTTTTTATTCATCTTTATTAAGGACACACAAAGCTCATGCAGTTCGTGGTTAAGAAATACACAACACAGGCTACATATACAGCAGAGTGCAGATTATAAAAGGACAGACCACGATAAACTAAAAAGAAAATAGAAATACACTTTCTTAAATTTAGAAATATCAGTTTAAAACTTCTCTTGTAGTGTATTCACAAAAAATGCCATGCTTTCATACATAAAATAAGACATTTAATGTGTAAAAACGGCCAACATTTACCATTTTTGGGACATATAAATCTCAAAATTAGGTTTACATGTGTTGCTTCTCACTGTTATTTCATTAGATACCAAAAAATATATACAAAGTGGATGTTGGGTATTTTATTTAGTATTTGAGTAAACTAGATTTTGCCTAAACTTGCCTAAAAAATTTAATTTCATCCAAATTTTGAAGAGTTTAAACTTGAGTAAATCTGACATGGAATAAACCAATGGTGTCAAACTCATTTTGGTCCGAGGGCCGTATCCAACCTACTTTGATCTCAAAGGGGCCGGATCAGAAAACTCATGTCATATAAACCCCCAAAATAACAATAAGTTTAAATATTTGTGCAGGGAAACACAAATCTATTACAGAAATCTTTTTTAACTGATGAACTCTTTCTTTTACAAAATATTATAATATTATGAACAACCTGAAACTTTAAGAAAAAAACAATTTCAACAAAATGTTTTAACATGAACTTATATGTAAGCAGTCAATTTTTGTTGTAAAATCCTGCACTCGGCTCCAATTTTCTCATTTTATTGACATTTTTCTGATGATGGTGTCACGGTCAACAGTCAAAACGATCGTCCTTTAAGAGCGTTTGGAAAGAGACAAGTCTTCATTTGTGCTGCTCTGGTGGGAGGGGCCACGTACAGAGACGCTGGAGACGCTGCTGTGATAAACACCACAGAAAATTAACAATATTTTAATAGAAAATATAATTACAATATTTTAGTAGAAAGTCAGCTGAGGGCCAGATTAAAGGTCTTGGAGGGCCGGATCTGGCCCCCGGTATCAAACATTTTGTCCAAATCTTGTTAAGCACATGATTGTAGTTTGGTGTGTAGAGATGCTGCTGTAGCTCAGAGCTGACGTCCACATATGTGCACATAAATGTCCAACACAGTTTGGGTTGTTCAGAAAATAGTTTTTGCAAATCATTATTCAATTGTGACTTTATTGTGTTCCATCAAAATGATTAAAACATGTTTATATACAGTGTTGGGGAGTAACAGATTACATGTACTGGAGTTACGTAATCAGAGTACAAATGATGAGTAACTGTATTCAGTTACAGTTACTGTTTCAGTGAGCGGTAATTGGATTACAGTTACTTTGTTGAAATAAATGGATTACACGGCGGTATTTTCCTGTTTTCACATTTGGTCTAAACCAAGTCTAAACCAATTCTAAAACCAGGTCAAAACTAGGTCTAACCCAGGTCTAAACCAGGACTAAAACCAGGTCTAAACCAGATCCAAACCAGGTCTAAACTAGGTCTAAAACCAGGTCTAAACCAGGTCTAAACCAGGTCTAACCTAGGTCTAAAACCAGGTCTAAACCAGATCCAAACCAGGTCTAACCCAGGTCTAAAACCAGGTCTAAACCAGGTCCAAACCAGGTGTAAACTAGGTCTAAATCAGGACTAAACCAGGACTAAACCAGGTCTAAAACAGAATTTAACAGGACTAAACCATGCTGGGCGGACGTGTCTCCTCCTCTTCTATCAATAATATTTTTAATAGTTACGTAAAGTCTGGGCTTTTTATTTTCTTTTAGCTGACAAAATTTCTTACGTGAACATTTCCTCGTCTTTGCTTCTCTACAGCAAATCAAGTAATCCAAAGTATTCAGATTACATTACTCACTTTAAGTAATTTAATGGATTACGTTACAAACTACATTTTGGTGTATGTAATCTGTAATCTGTAAGGGAATACATTTTAAAAGTCACCTTCCCAACACTGTTTATATATCGTATGTGGACATATAAATATAAAAAATAAAATTCTTGTTTTTGCGCTCATCAAGTCCCAATCAGCCCAAATAACAAGGAAATCAATAAAGCCATGTAAGAGTTCAGGTTCTGGGAGGTTAAGGGTTGATTCTTACTGTATTTCTGTATGGAAACAGACTGAAGTTACAGCGTGGATTAAATGAAATATTAAAATATCTTTCAATGCAGAGTCGACTATTTTGTTGTTTCTACAGGAAAGCTTGTACACTGAGACCAAAATGATGCCCCAAAAAATTGAAGAGAGAAAAAAAAAAGAGCTTTACCTGCGGTGTCTCCCCTTAAAATCAACATAAAAACAAGTAAATAATGAAAAAAGAAGAAAGTCTACTAGAAATTGAAAGTGAATTTTAAAACCAGGATCATTATTTTACTTATTAAATACACAACAAAACTCCAACAACACACAAAAACAGCACTATGGACTATGGAGCCGTCTTTAGTTTAAGATCACTTTTAAATAACTAATCAGCAGCCTCACACTGCACCAGATCACCACAGAGCAGGGAAAATGTCAAACTGATAATAAAGTTCTCAACATACTGTATCTTATGCTTATATATCTTAAAACTTTTTTTCTTTTAGTAGCGCTGTAGTCGACTAAAGGAATTCTAAAGACATGTCCAAACCATCGATTAGTCGACTAAAATGGGAGCGTTGCAAAAGCTCTTAGAACGATCTGACCCAAACTGCACTCACAAGACCACAGCTGCACAGGAGCTCAGGCTAAAAGTACTTTAGTTTTAGTTTATGCAATAAAAAAAAAATAAATAAATAAAAATAAAAAGGACTAGGAAATAATGTATTTATATGAAAACTGATTCAACTTCATCTAAAAAGCTCAAAATGCTCAATTCTACCTTGTGATGTCATGGAGCAGTAGTTTTCAAGTTTACAGCTCCTTTTATCACAGGGAACTACATATCCCATGATTCATTTCAGCGCAGACAACATGAAGAAATATGTTTTTGAATTGAATTCTTGGGATTATGACAGAAATAATAATGCACAAATTTCTCGTCATGATATTTTAAACGCAAAAAAGTATCTCATCTACAATTATATCTCTCCAGAATATAAATAATAAATATCGTACCGTGAGATATCGTGAAAATATCGTACCGAGAGATTTGGATATCGTTACATCCCTAGTAAATATGTATTATTTCTTTTTTTTTTTTTTTGTCACAATGCCAAGGTGAAATTGAATAAATTCTTTCTGTGAAAATGATTTTTTCTGTTCTTTGTTTTGTTTTGTTTTGTTTTTTCCCCTCAGTTTCATTCATTTCTGTTGCTTTTGGCTTGATTTGAGCGCAGTTATTTTTTGTAAATATGTATTATTTCTTTTCTTTGCCACAACGCCAAGGTGAATTTGAATGAATTATTTTTGGTGAAATTGATTTTTTCTGAGTCTTCCTCCTACTTATGACCACATTGGGCAGCTTCCCCACAACAAGTGAAATCACAAATGTTAATAAAGGTAAAATAATAACAAAAGGACACTTCAGTCACAGGATTACAACAGATGACGTTCCTCTTCATGTTCTATTTTGTGATGTCATGGAGCAGTAGTTTTCAAGTTTACAGCTTTACCTTTTAGTTCTGTAGGGATCGACAGTTCCAGGGTTGAAATAGTCCAAATGATTCTAGTGAAGGTGTGTGGAGTTTAAAAACACAGTGGAGCACTTCCATCATCTCACTAAGTAGAACAAAGTGTTTTCTATTTGCGAGAAGAACTCAGGGTTTGTGTGTTAAACGTGTGAATGAAACAAAACACAAAACTCCAGGTCTGTTTGAGATGAGGAAACGACATTCAAACACAGACCAGAAACCTGCGTAATATTGACCTTTTAATAAACACGAACACCCAAGAGTAGCGTGTACGTGTGTGTATTTCTTGTGAGTACTTGCGATGGTCCCGGTGAGTCTCTGGTCTGTGGGAGTATGACTTCATCCCAGAGTAAAGGCGCTCCTCATCATTAGCTCGCCGTGTTTAACATACCTGACTTTACGACGTCCTCGGGCTACAGCGACCCGGGTCATTTAGAGCCTGTGAAACCTGCAGCTCACCACTCCCCCTGGTGGCACACTGCAAAAGCAACATCTAGACGAGTTAAAATGACTTCAGTTCAGAACATTTGACCTTTTTGAGTTGATTCAGCTTGACAAGTCAAATGATCTACTAACGGAATAAGAGTGTCTTTCTTCAGTCAAGCAACATTCAATTTTGTTTCTTATTTTAAGTGCAATCGGTTGTTGTTTTGTTACCGTAAGTGTAGCAAGATTCAGATTTTTACCACAAAAAATATATTGGTAGATCATTTTACTTGTGAAATTTACTGAAATCATGATGTAACTTTCTTAATTCAAGTAATCTTAACTTGACTAGAGTTTTGAGTTTTTGAGTCTTTGCGTTTCTGTTTACTTGTCTTAAGACAGGCATGTCCAAACTATGGTCCGTGGGCCAAATACGGCCCTCAGACAATTTTTTCTTGGCCCACAGGCGTCCAGGTAAATTGGCCCAAATTACCTAGTATCAATTAAAAATGAACATTCTACTGCAAGTTTTTTTTGAAAATCTACCTCGATAAAGCTAATATTTAATATTTTGTGTGTGGT